GGTTTAGGGTTTAGGGTTGTGTTGTGGTGAATACAGCTGATAGTTGCTGATAGTTCCTTAGGGCTCCAGGGGTGGTTAGGGGATAGGCGCTTTAGGGCTCTATATCAGTAGCCTTGCACCGTACTTGCAATAAAGCACATCTTACAGAGACCGTATCGCTTAAGCCCCGAATCTCAAGTCGCTTGACCTCGGCCCGCTATAGACCTGTATACCTGTGGCCCAAAAGACATCTCCCTTTCTAAGGATCTATAGAGAAACCGCAATAATAAGGAGGTAGGTCTCTTTGGCTACAGGTGTGTATATATGTATATATATATANNATATATATATATATACATATGCATTCTGAAAGCATTACACACTCATACTACAGGGGACTGAATCGTAAGGATATCCCCTAACCAGCCCACAACAATTAGATCAATTTCATACCCAACAACCCCGTTCTAATTATTAAGGTCCCTTTCCTGCACACTACATCCTTCATCGTAAACTCCAACACCCTGTTTTGAGGACATTATGGACGAGACGCTGGTCGTGCCTTGGCCAGCAGGCAGGGTTGTTTTAAGGTCGGGAGACCCTAAACCCTAAACCGTTCGTTCAGAGCCTCACTTCTTGCACAAAGGGATTTTCGTCACGGCATTGCGCACGGTGTTTGTGCGAGCCTTACGTAGAGTAGTGTGGGATACCCTTTCTTACTAACCTCCTGCATGTAGCCCTTGATTAGCATCTCCTCAGGTCTTGTGCAGGGGCGTTTTCAGAATAAATTTCGGACGTGGCTACAGGACCATACCTAGTCTTGTTGGTTTACTTGCAGGGTTCTTAGCATACGTTAAAAGAAATCGAATGTTTAGAAGGGGTTCTAAGTGCCATGATGAAAACCCGGACCCGTGTGCTATCGCGCAGGTGCAACATGTCAACCGTATAGATCGGCTATGGTTCAGGCCCTATAGTTCCAGACCTCTTGGGTGCTGTTGATGATATAAATCCTGCATAAGGATCCTAAACTATGGGTTTTTTGTTGGTACACTCCTTATTGTGGGTAATGCAGGATTTATACAATCAACCGTATGACTCTTTACATCAGACTCAAAACATTAGAAGCCAACTATACTGCGCACAAAATTGGTAAGTTATGAACGACTATTCCACTGCTTGATGCTATGTGCTTGTGTTCAATCAACGTTTGGGTTTTAACTCTACAAAAAGCTCCTGTTTCGTAGGGTCCATTTCAAAGATCCCAGGAAGCAAAGCCTCTCAAGCCGGAGCACCGCCAGATCAAAATGAGTTCAGGGTTTAGGATTTGGGGCTTAGGGTTTAGGTAGGGTTTAGCCAAGAAAGCAAGCACACACTCAGAACCCTCTGCATGTGCTACTTGATGGCGCGCGGTTTGTTCAAAGTTCAGTTTCAAATACTCATACCGTAACTCTAGCTGGGGCTACTTCTAATGCCCACACCCTAAACAGTACTGTAGGGGCCTGAATAATAACTACCTATATGGTATTTTGGGGGTTCCTTATTATAGTTACAGTACAGCATCTCCCAAGACCGTGTTCTAATTATTAAGGCCCCTGCATTACGCGCGACCTTCTCCGATTTGCATTTTTGCTAGTTAAAACTTCGCCCACGTCGCGTCAGAAGTCCCAGTCGTATCACACTTGGTTTAGGGCGTAGGGTGTTACCCTAAGAAACACCCAAAACCAAGAGCAAGTATTGTCTACGCTTAACCCTGAATGAAAAGTCCTTCCAAATTTCTGAGGACCCCGTCTCCGTCCGTGCCAACCTCCTCGGAGCCCGTGCAGCTGCACGCGTGAGTGCAGCTGCGAAGGCAGGGTATATACTTCATTTCGCTTGAGAAATGTTCTTCAACAGGTGCTTGGTAGGGCCCTCCACCCTGTACGCAGCCAGTGGACACCCTAACAGTAATTACAGGATTTAGGGAACCCTAAACCCTAGGGACTTTGGGTTTAGGATACATGGGCTTATCCCTTTCAGGATCTGGGTTTCAGTTTTTTGAGGCAGTAGGGTTGCCACTGCCTGGTAATCCGTTGCTTCCAGGCTCAGAAGGATGCAGTTCCCGCCCTCCGGGTTAAGCTTTTGGTTGAGTTTGAAAATTTCGGTGTCTGTGGGTCTGTCTTTTTGTCTCTGTGTGTGTGTCTGTCTGTCCGTCTGTCTGTCTGTCTGCTTGTCGTGTTGTCTTTTGTCTGTCTGTTTTTGTTTCTGTCTGACTGTGTGTTTTCTTTGTGTCTCTGCGTGAGTTCGCTTGCCAGCCGAACGCCCAAAAGGCCCAGGAAGTAGGCCCTAAACCCTATAAACCCTAGACCCTAGATAGGCCCGTGACTTTGAACTTGAGCCCGGAGGTGAGAACTTGCACTTGGTTCACAACAGTAATGTAGGTGTTTAGGGTTTAGGGTTTAGCTAAATAATTACCTAGACTATTTGGGGGCTCCTTATTATGTTTATAGAATAGTATACCCCAAAACCCTATTCTAATAACTAAAACCCCTTTGTTACAGGGTTTCGCAGTGAGGATCCCGCAGCCTTCGCAAGGTGGTTCTCGGGTTCTATTGCTGCGGATGTTCATGGTTTCGCCATAAACAAAGGCTTCTGGTTCCCCACGCACCCTGCAATAACGGGCTCTTGGGCTATGTTGAGCCTGAGGCGCCTTAGTTTTGAGGTTTCCCAGAGACTCCGATACCCCTTAATTAAGGAATATACCTTAAATCATACTAGGGATCCTATTATAATTTAGGGTATATTCCTTATTTACGGGCTCTTGGAGTCTTTGGGTTCGGCACTAGGGATCTACTCCACCGCATCGCGGAGGCAAGTGCTGCCTTCGTCAATGTGCCCCTTGGCACGGCAGAGGGTTTAGGGTTTAGGGTTTTGGTTTAGGGTTTAGGGTTTAGGGTTTAGGGTTCAGGGTTTTGGGTTTTGGTTTAGGGTTTAGGGTTTAGGGCGATAAAAGATTGTTTTGGGATTTCCTCTGGCAAGTCATCCGCCTCATCAGATCCCTGGAGCCTGGAACCTAAGCAGAACTCGCGGGCTTGGCGGTAGTTATGGAGGCCTGACGAAGAATCTGCAATTCAAAGTGTATCTGTAGCCCAAAACCCTATGTAAATGCTAAGCCTTAAATCCAAAACACCTACGCTCCTCCGATGCATGGTCAATTAAGGGTCTGTAGTTTGGCAGGTTTTGTTATCAAAATCCTGCGCCCTACAATTGAAGCTTTGGCGTCTTGCGCTTTGGCATGTCCGCTGGTAGCTTAAACGCCCTACAACACTAAACCCCGATCCTTTGGCTTTCCATGCAAAATGACCAACCATTTTGGAGCATTTGGGTAGAGGCCTAACACCCTCAGCAAAAAACACCCTAAACCCCAAACCCTAAACCCTAAACCCCTAAACCCTAAACCCTGAACCCTGAATGCAAGGTTTCCAGCTGCAATCAGAGCCTGGGTTTGCTTCCGTGTGGCGTCCGGGGGCCCAGACCGAAAGGGCCCTACCAGGATGTACTTTACAGGGGTTAAGGATTTAGGGTTTAGGGTTTCGGGGTTTAGAGTTTAGGGTTTAGGGTTTAAGGTTTAGGAGGCGACACTTCCCTAAATCGTAATCGTATTTCCTGATATAGAAGCCTTACCTTCGACTATAGAGGTACTTGGGGACCCTTTGGGAGAAGAAGATGAAGCGATGCTTTAGGGACGAGGCTTCAGGGCGCAGGGCTCAGTGGTTTAGGGTTTAGGGACGCGGCTTCGGGGTGCGGACAAAGCCTTGATCCCGAAAAATATGTAGAAGCTTAATGTAGGGGCCTAAATAATTACCTATAGTAATTTGGGGGTCCTGATTATAATTATAGTATAATGTGCCCCAAACCCTATTCTAATTCTAAATATAAAGGCCCCTATACTATTAGATCTTTTATGAGGACCCTCAAGCTTCACCGTCTGGTGGTGGGCACTTAGGTGCAATAGACGAAATTTGGGGGTTTAGGTAAGCTTTGTGGGTCCCTGCTACAAATTCCCTAAGCCCTAAAGCGGTCCCCTGTCGCATCTGGGGTTGGAGAGGGGACAGGCGCAGCAATTTGGGGCTTAGATGATTAGGGTTCAGGGTTTAGGGTTCAGGGGTGTAGGGTATGACAGGCTTATAAGGCTCAAGGCTAGCAACAGGGGCTTAGGCTTCACAAGGTTTTACCGTATTTAGGTGCCTGAACCCTAAACCCTAAACCCTGCAGCTGGAAAAAGGGGCTCAACAAAACAAAAAAACCCTAAACCCCCAAACTCAAACCCTAAACCCCCAAACCCTAAACCCTAAGTTCGGTCATTTTAGGTGGTCTGTGATTCCGAAGGATGGCAAAAGATCCTTCGCGGCCATGCCGACCCGGAATCCAGTAATATAGGGGCCGGAATAGTTGCCTATACTTTTTTTTTTTTTTTT